TCTCCAAAGCTAACATTATTGTACTTTATTCGGAAAATAACAAATATTTGATACTGTTTTTAAACTCTCGCGATAATTAATACTAATAACTTCAGGAAATTCCCTTAAAACTTGACTGTTTAAAAATGTTGACCACATTAATTATTCTATAGCAATTTTGAAAAACAGAAAAGGATATATTTATCCGCTATAATTTTTTATGCAAGATATTAAAGTTAGAAAACCAAAATTATTTAATATCTTGCAATTATGAGAAGCAAAGAAAATTTTATGTTTTACAACTCTAAACATTAAAGCATAAAAGACATTTTAGGTAATACAATACCGGCCAAACACAATCTTAAAGAAAGTGGATCAAAATTGAACCCCGGGTTCTCTTTTCAGGTTTACTTGGAGCTGCCCCAGAGTGAACCCGGGTCACACCCAAGTGGCACCTCGGGCAGACCCAAAGCGAACGCAAAAAGCGATCCCCAATTTTAGTAGAGTATCAAGAAAGCAAACGCTTGTGAGTTAAGGCTAGGTATAGGCGTTTCTATGCAAATGAGCTAGCAAAAACGCATGAGTTATATTTATTATTCAGAAAAAGTTTTGATTAATTTTCTTACTCATACTTAGTACCCACGATATGTTATAGCCAGTTCACATTATGACATCATATTATGACATCATTGTTCTTACCTACTTGAAGTAATAAAACACATCAACATAACAGCTTCGGCGAAAGGGATTACCTTATTTAGTTTTACATAAAAATTGTATAATGCTAGGAAAAATAGTTTGTAGATTAATAAAACTGCTGCACAAATTCTAGGCATTTTTTTCCTTTGATCGGAACTCGAGGAACCTAAACATGACTGTACATTTTTACCCTGATTCAACTTAAAACTTTACAAATAGTAATTAAACACCTGAGCTGTTCATATTTGTGCAGCAATACCAGCACTTCTTGGAATATTTTGCTTCTAAATATACCTTGTTTCAGTTAAATAAAATAGTGCATGCCCTTGCGCCGAAGCATTTTTGTTGATGTCCTTTATAATCTTGTGTAGTAAAGAACAATGACGTCACGATATGACGTCATAATGTGCACTGGCAATATCATGTCGTTGGGACCAAGTATGTATTATACAATAATTTTTATCTTTCTCTGTATAAGGGATATAGTCCCTTTGCATTTTAATTAGTTGATTTACACAGAAATGCCTACACCTAGCCTTAACTAACTTGCTAACATCGTGTTCGCTTTAGGTAAAGGGACTGACAATTAGGATTACACGTTGACCAATCAGTGTGTCTACCAATCAATATGCCGTTTGACATTTCGGTGATAATTAAAACATTGTACACGTTCAAGTAGTATTACCTGGGCAATTATAATTCATAAATATCAAGTACATCATTCTAGCGGACCCAGAACTGACCAAGAGCGAATGATCGATCAGCAAACACAAAGCACCCTCAATGTTTTAAACAGCAGACCAGGCGCGAACGCAAAGCTAACCCAGGGTTCACTTTTGGGGTTCACTCCCGTGTTAGACTGTGTCCTTTCAGTTCTCTACTTTGAATATGTCAGTTCATCAGAACCAAGACGAAAATCTATCCTAAAATACAGATGATATATAAGTTGTTTCCTTCAAAATTTGTTATATGTGATAAAGCAGATAACTTGTAGAGGCATTCCGGTTTCATTGCCGAGTGTTAGAAACAGAAGGGAAAATGTTTGGTTCTTAGACCGCATGGAATGTGAAGGAAGTGAAGATTCCTTGTTAGAATGTGCAGGATCAGGAACCACCAGTTGTCCCTACGATGGAGAGGCTGGAGTTATATGTTACCACTCATCAACTGGTTGGTTTTGGAAATTTCATTCATTCTGTTGTTTATCATTTTAGTTTAAAATTTATTTAATTTGATATTTTTTTTCTAAAATACAGTTATGGTAAGACTTGTCAATGGTAGTGCTTTACATGAGGGTGTAGTTGAAGTTTTTGTGAATGATCGATGGCGAAGTGTTTGTGAGTATTCCTGGGGCACAAGTGAAGCTAATATGACATGTGGACTTCTAGGATATTCTGGGTAACTTAAGTTATAATTTATACAACACATTTTATGCTGATTATACATGTATCATTACAATATAATGATACAATTTCCCCTCGAATTCTAGAAATTTACAAACTTTCCTTGGCCAAAAGTCTGAAAAGCTGTGTGTTGTTTTATGGAAATTAAAACTGTGTCTCCATGAATGCATCAATATGTTCCTATCATGTGTGTAGAGATATGAAATTCATTTGCTTGACAATTAGTTTTGAGAAAATAAGCATAATTGCAGAGGTATACCAGTAGCTTTGCCGAGACATGGAAATCTAAGGAAAGAAATATGGCGTTTATCTAGAATGCATTGTAGAGGAAATGAAGTTTCTTTGTTAGAATGTGCAGCATCAGGATATAAATGGTGTAGCAGAGACGGAGATGCGGGAGTTATATGTTATCATACCCCAAATGGTTAGCTATGTTTTTCTTAATATTCATAATATTTTTTCTATCAATTTCTGGAGGAATGTAATAAATTTTATATCATCTAAAATACAGGTACAGTAAGACTTGTGAATGGTACCTTTTCACATGAGGGTGTAGTTGAGATTTTGGTGAATGACAGATGGCGAAGTATATGTGACCTTGGATGGGACAAAAATGAGGCCGATGTTACTTGTAGAGGGCTACACTACTCGGGGTAATGTTGGACTGTGTTATAAAACAATAAAACCTTATACTTCCTACGTTACATGATCACATTGTGAAGAAATAGTATGAAATGTGGTGCTCAATTTTGCAGCAAAATAATTAAATATTTGATATTCAGACTTTTAGATCAATGTTCTTTCATGTCGTAGAGAGAGTAAATCTGAGAGGAATTCCTTAAGAATATATTTCCTTGGATGTGTTTATACAAATTATGTCTACAAATAAAAATTATTTTCTTGATTAGTTATGATAAAACAATCTATTTGTAGAGGCATTCCGATGTTATTACCGTCTCCTAGAGAGAGGAAGAAAGACAATTGGCGTTTGAACGACATGAATTGTAAAGGAAATGAAGATTCTTTATTAGAATGTTCATCATCGGTATCCAGTACCTGTAGCAATTTTGCTGATGCCGCAGTCATTTGTTACCACTCATTCAATGGTAGGTATAAATATTCTATTATTATTACTTTTTTCTATCATGTTATCGAGAAATGTCATATTTTTTTATATTATCTTAAATACAGGTACAGTTAGACTTGTCAATGGTAGCTTTGAACACGAGGGGGTAGTTGAGGTTTTTGCGGATGATCGATGGCGAAGTATATGCAACTCTTATTGGAATGAACGCGCCGCCTACGTGACCTGTAGGAGTCTAGGATATTCAGGGTAATTTCAGATTGACTTTATTGATAATAAATCCATGTTTGTCATTATCTTAAAAGCTGAAAAACTTCCTCTTGCAATGTTGAATTTCCGATTTATTCTGGGGGGGGGGGGGTTAAAATAAAAAAAAATGACCTGTTGGTTTTCCCTTTTATTTTGCCCTTATGGCAAATACAGGTGATAGAACAATGTAACTACATAAAAAGGAAAGTTGATGATAGAAAAATTGAAGTTTGTCACCCATCTTCGTAATTACTTGACCCTCACCGTCTAAAAATTTATATTCAGTCAAACATCCATATATAAAATAAAGTTGCAAATTCAGAAGTCTTTTATTTTGAGTTCAGTGGGATACGTGTATATTTATTCGACATGCGATTGGAAGTAACTATCGTTAATTGATAAATCGTCATTGATATATTCAAATGTCGAATTAAAGACCACACCAAGAGATTCCCTCTTCTCATGTAGATATTTTTGAATAAATTTTGCTTCCAACATAATAAAAATTTAAAGTAATTATGATATATTAAAACGGGTCATCATGGAATTAAATGAGCACAGTTAATACCCATTGCATTTCAAACAAATTATTTGAAGTCCTGTTCTCAACAGACTATATGTATGATGTCAATGAGGATGTCAATGAAAATTTTCGAGTTCAATTTCAGGAAGAAGCAGTCGCCAATAATATCAAAAAGCCTATTTTTTTAAATTTATTGTGAAAAAAAAAGTTTTATAAAGGGTGGAATAGCCATACGTGTCATGTAACTAATTTTTGAAAACGTTTTAAATTTTCGAAATGTCTTTGGAGTTTCTGTGAATCCACAATTGATTTACGCTACTTTTAGAATATGCTTTCTTGTAGAGGTATTCCTGTATCAGTGTCGACTTCAATCGAAAGGATGCCTGATTTCTGGCTTTTTTCTAAGATAAGATGTAAAGGAAATGAAGATTCTCTGTCAGAATGTGCATCAGAAGCATCTAAAACGTGCTCTTCTCGTCGAAATGCGGGCGTTATATGTTACGATACATTAAATGGTGGGTTTTTTGAGATATCTTCCTGTTAATGTTCATCATTTCATAAAAGAGTCTATTTTGATTTCTTCAAAACTACAGGAACAGTTAGGCTTGTCGATGGTATCTCTCCACATGAGGGCATAATTGAAGTTTTGGTGAATAACCAATGGCGACGTCTTTGTGAAGGGGGATCAGAAAAGGATAACGCAGATGTGACATGTAGGAGTCTTGGGTATTCAGGGTAGTTATGATTGTATATTTTTTTTTTATTAAAACAACAATTCGTAACATAATCATATCTTGACAATTTACTTTTGCATTCCACAAATTTCCTTCTATTTTTCAAAGAAATGCTGAATTTTTTCTGTTCTGTAATTTGTATCATATCAGTTTTCTTTGATGTCATTTGAAGAGGAAAATAGGTCAAAGGTGTTGAAGGATAATCCTCTGAATACATGAATATATTCCTACAATGTGAGTATAATAAAATCAATTTCCTTAAAAAGAAGTTTTATTATTAAACATCGAAATCTTTTGTAGAGGTATTTCCGTATCATTGCCGTCTTATAAAGGAAAAAAGAAGGAACTTTGGCTTTTACCTCCTAGGCACTGCAGTGGATACGAAAAGTCTTTGTTAGATTGTGGAATATCTCCATTTGATACATGTGGCAGTACTCTTGAGGCAAGAGTTGATTGCTACAACAGTTTGAATGGTTTGTTGTTTAGACATCATTTTGCGGATATTGCTTTTTTAATTCAGATATTATTCAAACTTCATTGTCAATGTTAACAAAATGAAGTACTGCTTTTTAAATGAGAGCTTCTTTTAACAATCAGCAGGGACATTAATAAAACTATACTAGTGTTGCTTGAAGTAAGATTATCTTCCCCTTTATGATTAGGAAGGAACAGCAGTCTTAACACCTGGAAAACATAAGAAAATATTTACATGACTTACTACAACACTAGGCAGTTTTAGGTGTTAAAAACAAGTCGTAAACTATTGAATGTTGGTTAACTATTCAATCTCCAATGTATCTTGTTTATTGTCCTCTGGAGTCATTGGCTAACCTATTTTAACTTCGATGTGCTTTGAAAAAAATAAGAAAAATATGTTTTCGACTAAATAAAATCAAATGAAAATAGAAAAATGTGCATCATTTTGTTTTGGTTACACTTAGAAAAGTGTAAGTGTAGCGATCTCAAATTTGTGGTGATACGGACTTAGTACAAACAGCAACCTTTCTTATTATTTTGAAAATATGGTGACCTGGTTCAGTCCAAAAATAATTAAATTCCTCATTGAACAAAATGTTAACGTTTCATCACTTAGCATCTCCCCTAATTGATTAGGCACCCCTCTAACGAACGCTCGTCAAGTTTCCTATAACTAGTTAAAATCTCAATACAGCAGAGATTGGATAAAGTGCCTAAGACGAGTTATAAGAATGAACCATGAACCCAGAGGCCTGTTCAACAGAGCGAACGTTCGCAAGCGCTCGCCAAATTTCCTTATCCTTCCAACAGAAATGTTCGCGAGCGCTCGCTCTGTTGAACAGGCCTCTGTTGACCTGTCATGTCGGCTGTGAGCCCTGTATATTCATCAGGTAGACGGAGTTACCTGTATTCAAATATAAAATAAAAAGCAAAGGCCTAACATAGTGAATGAAACAAGTCAGACAAGATACGACCTAACAATAGGTTATATTTGCAAACAAAGTCAAAACAGTGGTTCCTACGTTATTGTTGATAAGTTACAAGAACTATCATATTACACTAACGATTCCACAGGATTAACGCACGATTGAACCCAATACACGAATGATCCGTTATGCACACGATTCTACACGTTACGGGGTCTGTTCGATAGGTACTGTGTATTGTACCATAGCGCGATAACGCTTTGCATGATTTCGTGGATGATACCAGTGTTTAATAGCTCTATGCATTACTTTTCCAACGGTATAAAGACAAGTCTTCAGCTCTTTACAGTTTTAAACTTATAGTCATTTCAATTGAGTCAGTCGTTGACCACTGTTGTAAAAATAGTTGAGAAGCTGGTAGAGAATATTAAAGAAATTAGAGCTTATATAAAAGTCTCCACAAAACTGGGTTATTCGGTAATGAGGATTTTTACTTAATTGACGGAAGTTTATGGGTCTGATAAGGTATCTTATGAGACAGTTCGTAGGTAGAGTAAGAAATTTCTGACTGGCAGTCAGTGAAAGATGCAGCAAAATCGTACCGACCTGTGACTGTAAAAGGCAAGGCAAATGTCTCAAAAGTCAGAGAAATAACTGGAAGTGATGACAGGTACACGAATTGTGATATTGTCAAAGCTGTTTGCATATCGCTTTCGCGGGTGCATTCCCCTTTTGAAGCGTATTTTGAAAGTACATGTACGAAAGACTTCAGAGACTGAAATTATGTATTTCAAATCGCGAAAACTTTGAAGAGATTTAATGTTCATTTCACTATTCGAGTCAATGCCTTTTAGATTTCCTACAGTACACTTCACATATCGAACAACCCTCGAACATGAACGATCACGATCGATAACACAGCGTAAAATTCTTCACAATTGGTTAAAAATATTTAGGAATATAAATTTTCAAAACGTTAAGATTATAGTTATATAATATTATTATAGTTTTTTTTATGATTTATGTATGTCGAATTTGTTTTACACTGAAATAATTGTTAATAGCTACATTCTTAAAATGATGACTGTCTTTCATTCTGATTTAGTGTATGCCACAATTCAGTTTATCTGTAATTAAACATTTCTATATAAAGAATTGATCAGACTAGTTGATGGAGCTACAAGCAACGAAGGTCGTGTAGAGGTGTTTATCAACGGGACGTGGGGCACCGTTTGTGATGATGAGTGGGATGATAACGAAGCACTTGTTGTGTGCAGAAGTCTTGGCTATTCAGGGTAAATATTTACTGCAGCTGATTTACTACTTATTTATTGTGGTGTCAAACTAACAAACATTTAACGACATGCTTAGAAGATATATATTCATATCCATTTCATAGAGACTATACTGCTCAGAAAAGTGCCTACTTTGGACAAGGATCTGGAACTGTTTGGTTGGGATGGGTAAGGTGTTGGGGGAGAGAGTCATCCATCTTCGATTGTTCATACCCAGGAATCAGGAAAAATTATTGTGGTCGCTACCGGGATGCTGGTGTTAGATGCCGATAGTTTGCTTACACATAGTTTTAACTTTGTAAATCTTCCGAACTGTTATCAACCATAATTTTCATTTAGTTGATTTTTTCCACTGATAAGTTATGAATATTTTCATGATGCAATTTCAGACCGATGGCACTGTCAGATAAAAACAAACTATTTTAATAAATTCTATAATCATTCTTCAAAATAGATCTATAAAGTTTATTCTATATGTTAAATGTAAACATTTGTATAAAAACTTTTAAAATGTTGAAATGAAAAAAGGTAAATTTATTTCATACCTTGCAATATTTTCTTTTACCTGTTGAACTTTTGACCTTTATTGTCTATTCGTATAGACAATATAGTTGTTCCTTCACAAAGCGCTAGGCACTTTGAAGTGAAAGTTTCGTGTGTTTTGCAAGATACCTTAGTTACTGAGGTCCCGTGTCACGATAGACGTTGGTAGGATAAAGCTTAAGATCTTTCACTGCTCAATGGCCCTGATTGCTGAATAAAGATCTATGTACATGGTGACATCTCTATATGAGTGAAAAGTTCTCGAACAGGATGTAAAACAACATACAATCAATCACTGTATAGACTATATAATGCTATTCCATTGGTATTGGAGGTTATTGTAAATAAATGTTTTATTATTATTTGCCATTAAACATTAAACGTGAGTCCTTTTTGTTTATAGAGATTTTGAAATCAATATAATTGTTAACATTAGTAGAATGAATTATTTATATAGAGGAAAATAAAACAAACATGATCTTAAACATGTTTATTATGATATTGGCGATTGTTGGTCGTGCCATTTTTTAAAAGCAGCAAGAGGTCGCCAAGCATAAAGAGCGACCCCAAATTACAACAAGCAGAAGCAGCAGCAAACATGAATGCATATACATATACTATAAATAAGCATAAATATGCCGTTCCGGGTATACCGCGACCGGTAATTATATTTTTTGTATTTTACATAAATTTTACACGTATGTAGAGTTATCGTTCCGGGTTAACCGGGAACGTTACTCAACATATTTTAGCAAACAAAGCAATGCATGAATTTGTTAAAAGCAGTACACATTTTGCACAGTAATTGAGTTTGTTTTAAGCAAGCAAAGCAGACCAGTTCATGAATTTGTTGAAAGCAGCACACATTTTCAAAGTAAATAAGTTTGTTTTAAGCAGCAGTAGCTCAATAAATTATAGCATCAGTTGAATGGCTCGGCGCAAACGCCACATGGCCGAAACCTTTAATTTGGAAACCACTGGTTTCGGTCACCCCATAAAATGGGGAAGCCGCATTCAACTGACCCACGACCAACAGCCCTAAATAATATATCATATTTACTTGGTAAAATTTACTTAAACTCTTTCTCCAGACCCCCCCCCCCTTTTTTTTTTAATTTAAAGATGCTAGTATTAAATAAAGACAGAAAACATGTCCTATTTGCTTATTGGTGTTTTAATATGCAACTTTTATGAGGAATTAAGGAACTTATTTTAGATTATCCCTGGGTTATTTTATAGCAAATATCTTTATATAAATATAATGAATGACTAAGATATTAAGATGCATTACATCTAGAGCAAACTATTGCCTGTCATTATAAAATGGCTGGTTCTAGTATACCCCTCTCATTTCAACAGGAGCACAAGTATTCAAGCTGATTTAAAGCAACATTGTTCTGGGGGAAATCTCTGTTAATGATACTGTAGGATTATCATTAGAAATCTTTGCTATCAAATAAATATGTTAATTTGTATTTTGTAAAAGGTCAGCTATTAGGGAATGAAGTCCCACTTATAGTGCTTACATACGTATGTTTCATGTGGTTATAGTACCCTTTTTTTATCCCCCTCCCCCCCGTGAATCAAAATGAAATCTTTTGGTATGCCAAATAAAATCTTATTTAGGATTAAATGAATACTTAAAAGCAGAATAACATTGTCACCACATTTAAATTCTATTTTTATAGGTTCTAACTCTGTTCAAATTCTTGCTTTTCCAACCAAAATAATCTTTATAATTGAGGAGCCTACACACCATAAACTTTTCCAGCTACTGTCTACATGTACGAGGAATATAAGACTAATGTAAAATTTGACTTCTAATGTGTATGAAATATATGGAGATAACGAACAGTATTCAAGCTCAAAAATCCATTATACAATACAAAATAGGAGCAGAGCAAACACGGACCTCCAAACATCAGAGGTGGGATCAGGTGCCATGGAGGAGTGAGCATCCCTTGCCGACCGGTCACACCCGCCTTGTGCTCCTTGTCATGATCGGGAAATAACGGAAAAATCCGTCGACAATTCAGTGTGTAAATAATGGCCTAACAATTAGTATGAAAAACGTCAGTCAGCATTTGACTCAATGATAAATTGTATTTGCTGACAAGGTCATTGTATCGACCAAAGAACTTACGAAATGATGACTTTAAACGAGACAGCTGATATTCTTGTTTCATCAACTCACAGGTCATATAGAATGCCTTCACTACCTAGAACTAAGATAAAAACAGGGCAGACATCAGTCAATAATAAATGACTCATAAACAGAGCAACCACTTCCCCTATCTTACTGGATTGCAAAAACATTTTACTTCATCCTACACTTATATCAAATATGAATAATTGTGTAGACATTTCCGGACAGTGCATTATTCTCAGAATCCTCAAGGTATAGAGACTTATACAAATTAAAACAAAATTTCCTCAATTTAGACAAAAATTGAAAATGTGATGGGAAGAAGACACTTTCTGGTTAAGAAAGGCTTAATCCATACCTTGAACAGGTTTGCAGCTAAAAAGTACTGTTAAAATATATGTGACTGAACCATGTGAACTTTTGTCATGCATAAAATCTTAGAGCTGATAAACAGAATTTTGCTCTTGATTCTGCATGAATGACATGTTTAAAGGGTAGTAACCTAACATAACTGGAAAGAATTTCACAAATGCTTTAATTCCTAGTACATAAACAATAGACTACTGTTTTGTATTTTCCTAAAATTATGCTTGTAACAGCTTAATTCACTGAAGCTGTAGCTATTTGGTGAAATTATAATGGGCTGGATTGAGAATTTTTCTGCCCCTGGATCTTTTATGCCTTAGCCATTCACAATACTTACCAAAGAAAATTATCAATGTGAAATATCACTTTCATTTAGAAAACAACTGGAGCTAATGAAATCAACTCCAAAAATTTAAGTCCTTTAAATAATTGCCTTCTGGTTTCATCAATAAATTGGTTACTTGTAAAAAAGGAAACAAAAATTATGCCTTGTCTTACCTTCAAAATCCCCATACAATCGGCCATACTACCTGTACATGAATCAGTTTAGAGTTGTAATACTTAAGTGTACTTGAATTGACCTACACCAGACCTGAACTAATAAATCTCACTGAACCGATACTCCCATCCTGGTAACTCTTTGTCATGATGGGCTCAAATGTAGGAAAAAGAAATTACCACTCTGAATTATTTTATACACCATTAAAATATGGGAAATGTTTTAACTGAAAACAATCACTGATAAACCTAATAAGTCAAATATCTAAAATCTCCAGTTATATAAACACAAGTATTAAACCTGACTGAACTGTTTACCATCATAATTTTTTTTATAGGGCAAGTAAATCACCTTTTGAAGCTTTATTTAAGTAACTTTGTCAGAAGCAGAGAATTGGAGTATTGATGAATGTACACATTCACAAATGGTTTCCATTTTTAGGTCTCACAGAACACCTATAAACTTTGAATACCTACCCACAGCTAAAAGAATAAAATTTGTCAATCAGCTGGTCAAAGCAATATAGCAAAGAGATGTTCTTTAACATGAACCCTTGCTCTAATTGATCATTGATATGTCAGTTTCCTTAATTAACAAGTCTATTTCCCTAATTTCCCCAACCCCCAACCCCCTAACCTCCCCCCCCCCAAAAAAAAAAAAAATGGAAAATTCAAATTCTTGTTTACTATTGTAGCTAGGTGGAGTGCAAGACTTGAGAGTACAAATGATTAGGTGAATAATAGGGGGGCACAACCTAGGTCCTTAAAATGCTAAAATAATATACCCTTGCCCTTGATTCAGATTCCACACTGTTAAATTCATTGTATGACATACACGTAGGAAAATGCATTAGCTCTTAACGAGCAACTGAGTTACCTTCACTACTGGACGAAAAAAGTGCCGAGAATCCCAAAATTTACTGAAAATGTTTGATAATTACTGATACTGTGCTGTTGTTGCTGATAAATACTGATATTTACTGTTATTCTTACTGTTGTTACTGATAATTTTAGTTGTTTCTGATAAATACTGATAATTACTGCCGTGTTGCAACCACTATTGAAATAACGACCACTATTGAAATAATTATTTCAATAGCGGTTGAGAGTGCATTTCAAATCCAAACACATGATGTAACCACTATTGAAATAACGTTCACTATTGAAATAATTATAATAACAATATATTATATATTAACAAATATATATATATATATACAATATTACAATAATATTGTCTGTTGGTTTTCGCCGAGTCTGCCAGATTCAGCAGAAGCTTGCTTATAAACATTTGCATTTGTATGAATTTTAGGTACGTCAGTTAAATCATAGATGTCCGTATATTAATGGTACTTTTTAGAAAGGAAAGGAAAACATTAATTTACACATCATAATTTAAACTCAATAAATTAATTTATTATGTTGGAAAACGTAATGAACAAGTCATCCTTATATTTTTCTTTCATTAGAGGGGACATTTCAGTAAGGCTTGCAATATGGTTTTGGTATTGAAATCATTGTCAGCAGCCATAAAATAATTATTTCAATCACTGTTGAAATCATTATATCAATCACAATTGAAATCATTATTTCATCACTATTCAAGTCTTTATTTTAAAAGTGAAAATTATTTCAATAGTGGTTGCAACCTGGTTAAAGCTTTAAAAAGCATTCAAAACCTCTGTTGAAATCATTGTTTCAATAGTGAACGTTACATTGTATTTCAAAAGTGGTTGCAACCTGTGTTCGGTTTTGAGAGGCATTTTGTAACCACTATTGAAATAACGTCCACTATTGATATAATTATTTCAATATTGAACGTTATTTCAATAGTGGTTTCAACCAGTTTTTGGTTTGAAATGCACTTTCAACCACTATTGAAATAA